GGGGGGGGGGCGGGGGGAGGGATGTGGCCTGCCTGCTGGACCCCTGACCGTCCCCCGCCCTCCTGCCCTCCTCCCGCAGGTCTACATGAACGCCGTGTGGCACGGCTGGGCCATCCCCATGTTCTTGTTCCTGGCAATTCTGAGGCTGTCCCTCAATTACCTCATAGCCAGGTGGGTGAGCTGGCTCGTTGTGTGCACGGGCTGGGCTGTCCCCCGTGTCACACATCATGTCATTCACACTGACAGCCCCGCGCTCTGGCCTTGTGGGTCCTCTGTGGGCTCCGGGCCTCCCGCTGTCCTGGGGCGGCCATGGCGCCGGCTGCAGGCGGCTCTAGCCCCTCCTCCCATGAGCTCTGTGTTGGCAAGAAAGCTCCCCCAAACCTCAGGGACAAAGGGGAGGCACGGAGCTGCGAAGACCCCGTGTCCGGGCAGGCCCGGCCGCGTGTGGGATGGGCGGATCCCCACCAAGCGCCTGAGCGCCTGGTCTGCGTGTCTCCCCTTCCTGTCTCTGAGCCCCGAGCAAGGCCTGGGGGGCTCTGTAGGGGGCTTTGTGGGAGCCAGTCCCGTGCTACCGGGTCGGTCTGAACTCACGGTTGCCCCAGCACAGTGAACCCCAATTCCACGGGCCTGAGAGCCCCACGCTCCGCACTGGGCCCACAGCTCAGCCTGCTCACCCCACATTCTCCCAGGCGCCGCCTCAGTCAGTGCTGGTGGGGGCCGCCCTCCAGGCCAGACACCCTCAGCTGCAGGCCTCACCCACATTTCCTTTTTAAAAAAATATATTTTATTCATTTCAGAGAGGAAGGGAGATGGGGAGAGAGAGAGAGAGAGACATCAGTGATGAGAGAATCATTGACCAGCTGCCTCCTGTATGCCCCACACTGGGGGTGGAGCCTGCATGTGCCCTGCCTGGGAATTGAACCCTGACCTCCTGGTTCGTAGGTCGACACTCAACCAGTGAGCCACGCGGGCGGGGCCCTCACCCACTTGTGTTGAAAGGTTTCTTGTCCCATCACCTCTGGGGCTTTTACACGTGTCCCCCCAGGCGGGCCCCAGGGGAGGTGAGAGGCGGGGCTCCCGCAGCCCCTCTGCCCAGGGCTGGGGCGCTCCTGTCCCTGGGCACTGGCGGGGTGGGGGCTGAGACGCCCTGCGACCGTGTACGCTGTCCCTACCCACCAGGGGCTGGCGGATCCAGTGGAGCATTGTGCCCG